CCCCGCCTGCCCCCGCCCGTGCCACCACCTGCTGCCCGCTGCCCATCGGCGTTCGGTAGCGGCAGCAGCGCAGAGGCCGTGCAGGCGACGACTGCTGATGAGGACGAGAGCCCAATCGGGGTCACGTGGGTTGCGACACTGCTCCTCCCAATAGTTGTTATTGAGACAATATTTATTACGAAATGGTTGTTTACGTAACTAGTATGTAATGTAAGTCTTTGGCGTAGGAATTAAATGTTAACGAAGGAGGCGACGATACGATCGCGGGATTTTGAATGGGTGCGCCGAAGGCACTTTTGTTCGAGTTGGATGATTTATGTTTATTTAGCACGAATGTATAAACGCGTAAAAGTATGTTCTCTTGGGATTATTCCCAAAAGGCGAGGCTATAGCCTTACTGATTCATGTCGACCCAGTGTCTCGTTGTTACTCAATTGTTGAGTAATTACTCAATGGTTGTGTGATTTCATACGCATTGGTACTGAAGATAGTAACACTTTCCAATCAATGGAAAGTGAATGTAAGCACTAGATTCTATGCATTAGTGCTGAGAAGTAAGTATTTATGAATGCTATCAACCCCAATGAAGCATAAACAAAGTTTGAAGTGCTAGAAAAGCACCTTTTAGTTACCTAATTTGCGTATTTTGCTTAAATAAAACCTGTATTTGCGCTTGCATTTAGCCGTCTTAAACACAAGTAAATGTACTTGAACTGATTTTACGTTTGTTCCTGTTAATCAGAGGGCACACTAGTGTCTCATTTGATCGCTGTGGGTTTCTAGTTTTGCCTATTTTGTCAATTGTTGAAGTATTGTTAATTTGAGACCTACTGGATATTCCCATTAAACAGAAGTTCGTAAGGTTGTCTAAAAACAGGTTCATTGGGACGTGGAAAGATAATATAATTATTCACTGTGGGTGATAATCACCTCAAACAGGAGTAGTAGGTAGTGTGGAATTCCTATTTGCGAAAAATTGCTGGTGCAACTTTTTGCTTAGACATCATTTGAAAAGGATTTAATGCTAATATTTTTTTATTACTTTTGGAATATTTAATTAATGCTAGAACGGAAAATATCCTACCAAGTTTAGTAATTAAATACAGGCCTATTATACTGCATTATACAATTTTGAACAACTCTTTCGTAAAAATATGAGATTTAATCCCAAGAATATTTTACACAGGAATAATGTTTGTAAACTCTGAGGTGATATCATGTCCCCATCGGGATCCTATTTTAAGAAATAAATAATTTAAATTGTGAAGGTGCAAAACAAAAGGTCTCAAATCCATATACATCACATATCGCTCTTTCGATTGCTAAATTAGAACGGTTACTTATGTCAATTTTTCATCAAATTTATATTTCATATTTTACAGAAGTAACAAAACAAGCCTCTTGTTTCAAAAGGCGTTGTTTTTATGCAGTTCCCTTAATTTCTTTAAAAATGAAAACGTGGCCTTGTGAACTTTTGTCTGTACTTTCACAATTAACGATTAATGTATTATGCAGTTTGTAGGGTGGCGAATCTTGAAGGAGTTGAAATATTACAATATTGTATAAAGCATAAACTGTTAAAAATTTAGAGACAATCACACACTTAATTCGATAAAAATGTAATAATCAACCTTTAAATGAACATTATTTTTATGAGCATTGTTTTTGGCTCATCTTGCAATGTTCTTAAAAACGGAGATTATAAAAAATAATCCTTATTAAAGACTGATTAAAAGGATTTCTAAATGTACAGTGGCTAACTGTCTCGCAATTCATGATGGTACTTGAATTATACAATGTATTTCATTGTCTTGGTGGATAAAACTCCTTTACTTGGTTGGGGTGTTGTGGAGGTGTTGCGCGCGCCGCGCCGCGCCGCCTGTTGCGATCGGCGCCGGGTGTGCGCCTCGCCCCGCTGCGTGTTCCGCCGCCGCTGCGGGCGGGAGGCCTCTTCCTGCGGCGCCACTTCCCTCGCCCAGGGCGGCGCCTAAGCCCTCGCTCCGCGCCATCGCTCTTCGCCGCCCGCCCGCTTCCGCCGCCGTCTAATCCTTCCGCCGCGCTCTCGGGCGGGCGCCCCTTCCTCCCCCCCACCGCCATCTCGAGCCCGCTTCCTTCCCCATGCACTCCTCTGCACCGCGTCCCACCCCACTCCACACCTCGACCCAGCCCTCTCCCGCCCCCGCTTCTCCTCGCTTCATCCTGCTCCGTCCACCCTCGCCTCGCCTGGTCTCACTCCGCTCCACCCCGCTTCACCCCGTTCTGTGTCGCTTCTCCCCGCCCCACCACGTTCTACGTCGCTCCACACAGCTCCATCCCACTCCACCCAGCTTCAAAACGCTCCACTTTGCCCCGCCCCACTTATACAGCTCTACCCCGCTCCACCCGCTCTACCCTTCTTCACCCCACTCTATCCCGCTCGACCACGCTCCAACCCGCTCCATCCCACTCCACCCCGTTCAGGCCTGCTCCACTCGGCTCCACGCTACGCCTCCCCGCTCCGCACTACCTCGCTACGCATCGTCGCGCCCGGCCTCAACCCGCTGTACTCCTCTCCACGTTCCGTCCTCAATCGTCCCTTCTCCTCATTCCGAGCAGGACCCCGCCGCGCCTACTGCGCTTCCCCTTTCGCCTTGCGCTTCTCACACTCCCTTCGCCCCCCAACCTTCACCCACTCGGGCCTTCTCTGTTTCCATTCCATGTTTTTCGCTTCCCTGTCAACCCCTCTCCCAGGCCACATCCTGTTTTCCATGTCCACCTTCGACCCGCACACCGTTCACCCGCCCTCACGAGTCCTGCCGGGGTTGTGCTGTGCCTTCCACTCCCCGCCCCACGGCCCCCGCCGCGCCGCGCCACTCTCCGGGCGCCGCCACCCCGTTCCGCCCTTGCGACGGGAGGCATTCGATCCCGGAGCCGCCTGGCCACCGCCCCCCCCCTCACTCCCGGCGCTGTCGATTCCGCCCTCATTTTTCTTCCTCCCTCCACCCCGTACCCTCTCTCGTCAATATCTCCCTATCTCCTTTGCCATCCCCGGCGTGCCTACCGCATTTCCTTACTTACCTTTTTTTCTAAGTCTCTATCACTATATTCTTTTAAACAACTACTGGATAGTACGCAACTTATCTGCCACTTTCTTCAAATCAATTTCCACTGTTTTCCTCTATTCTCTGTTAAATTCTTCCCCCAGTTTCTTATCACTTACTCGCCCTAAACCCATCTGTCACCCACCTCACAGTCAACCGAAATATTATCTCTGTCTCATATTTCAGCACAACCCACTTCACATCACAGACTCCCTCTCCTGCAGTGCCGTTCTTACTTCCGGTTGAGACAGAAATCGCCTCTCAGGTCTTCTGCACACCTTCAACGTAGATTTACCAACTCCCTGTTCTCCAAGGTATCGCATCCCACCTCAAGCCGTCCCTTCGATTCAGTCCACCTCTGCGCCCCTCTTCAGGTGCTCCCCTTTTCTTGTAGTCTTTCCCCCGCTGCGCAGTCCTCGCTCGATCCCCAGCCACCATCCGGGGCCCCCCCCCCCGCCGCCCAGGCGCTTCCGCCGGGGGTGGATGTGGCCCGCGTCCCGCCGCTTCGGAGCGTCACCCGGAGTCGCAACGCAACCCTTTATTGACTCGGGCGCAGCTTTCCGCTTGTTTACCCTGACTCTGTTCCGGGCTTTTAACCACTTCCCCTTCCGTGCCCCCGCCCCGGCCCCCCCGCCCCGCCGCCGCGCGGAGCCTTGGCGAGGGCGGGCGCGGCGCAGCGGCGCTGAAGGCGGCGCCAAGGCGAACGATAGGGGTCGAAGCTGCGACGAGCGGGAGAGCGGGCGGGGGCGCACGCAGAGTTCGAAGTGGACTGGCTTTGGTAAAGTTGTACACAAAACAAGTATTTATTAGAATATATCTGGGGTTTAGGTATAGCTAGACAGATCCAGCTCGTATATTGACTTGGTTTATAAATCAAGACCGTGTAAATCAATCAAGAGAAATAAATGAATACCAGAAACATACTAAAAAAACAACGTTTCATTACTTTGCGAAGTTTTCATTATGGCTGTTGTACTTCAATAATTTTTGTACTTCAATAATTTTTGTACTTCAATAATTTTTGTACTTCAATAATTTTTACGCTGTAAATCTTGATGCATGCTCAAAAAGGGCAGAGACGTTGACTTTTAGCACACATAGTTTTATTAATTATTAGATCTAAACACGAGATTAATTTTAAGACACAGATTTTAAAAAGAAAAATCTTTGAAAAATCTCCATATTTTACCGACGCATTTTTTTCATTTTATAAATTAATAAAAATTGTGCGGGGTTTTTATTGACAGCAAACATATCCCGCTCCATTCGTGTATCGATCATAGTGTTTGTCATATGAGGTGGAGAGGTTCCTTAAGACTTCTCTTCATATTCTTCTATTTCTTTCTCATTCTTGAATGATGAATATTCACGTTTTATTTCTGGGGTCATTTTAGAATGCGCTTTCTGCTCTGTGAATTGTGACATTTTTCATCCATGTTCAAATTTATGAAGACATTTTTATGATATGTACGAAATATTTTTTCAAAGACTAGCAGAGAGTAAACTGCATTCCACCATTTTAAGAATGTATCGTACGATGTATATTTCTTAAGTAGATTGCAGTGAAATAATCCTAAAAAATTGACGCTTCAAAAAATCTGGAGTATATTCATACTTGAAATGTAGGGGGACTGACTTTGCCGAAGTTATATTACGGGTGAGGTATATACGCTGGTAATTAAACGAGTTTTCTTATACATACATATTTATATTTCTTTCGGTAACAGGTCGTTCAGTTACACTTTTCCATATATGCATTAATTGGCTTACAACTATTATTCTTTCCTAATATTAAGTCTAATTTTTACTACAACAAGGTGTAGGTAGCTACATTCTGCACGTAGTGTTAACAATAGTTAGTGAATCTGTTCAGAAATGCGTCGAATGCGAATCGGTTGTAATTCGTGTTGGAGGTTGTGTGTTGAGGCAAGGTTATTGTGAAGTGCGAGTGGTATATAGTTGACGAATGAGTAGCAGATATTGGAGAAGTGAACTACGTGCGTTCATAGTTAAGATGTGCATGCGGCGGGCAAGAGGCGGGCCGGCGGAGGGCAGATGGTGACGAGTTGAGGGGAGGTCGCACAGCGACAATTTCGCTACATGAAATGGGCCGAGGAGCTGAGTGAGGCGGAGGGCGGAGAGTACGATGGGGGAGTTGGGCGCAGTGGGTTGGGGAAGTGAACGAGGATTTCCGGGAGCGTCGACTGCTTAGGTTATTAGTTCCATGAGTGTAGTACCTGCCGCCGCCTGCTGTGAGTGTAGAGCCGGGGGGGTGACAGAACGTGAGAAGCGGTGACCTACCTGTCTGCTTGCAAACTGCTTCCTCGTCCAAGTTCCTTCACCAGTTGGGTATTGCCGCAGGCCAGTGGGCATTGCCCGATTGTTCTCCAACATGAAGGAAAGGTAATGTAGGGCTCGTAAGTGAAAGTGTGTTTGTTTATGGGCAGTTGTGGGACAAGGATGAAGATGGGAGGTCGCTCGCGGCCTACTTTGGTAGGGCACTGCTCCTGCATTTGCCAGGTATTCATCAGAGAACCGAACAGAGCAACCGGTCGCAGGAACTCTCCCCCAGGCAGCGTCTGATTACCACCTAGCTGAATATCAGTTGTGGAAAATCCGGCGCGGCCGCAACAGTAGCTCTGACTGAGCAGTGTCAGTGCGGCCGTGCTGGGGCGTGCGGGGGGAGGGCGGCGGGCGGGCGGGGTGGCAGGCGAGGCCCTGGAGGCGCGCAACCCCACTGTGTGCCGGCGCCGCGCTGCCAGAGCCCCCGCGACCGCCCTCCAGGCGCCGCGCGCGTTCGCTGCCGATCACGCCCCCGCCGGCGTCCAACGCACGCACACACGCGCGCATGCCCCCAAGCGCCGTGCTTTGGCACCCCTACCGTGGCCACGCCCACATGAATCTATGGGACGGCATTCAGCCACGATCATTATCCTTGCCTTCATCATCGTCATCGCCATCGTCATTGGAATCGCCATCGTCATTGGAATCGCCATCGTCATTGGAATCGCCATCGTCATTGAAATTGCCATCGTCATCAGCCTTGGATTGAGAATATTGGCCCCTTCCGTCTTCAAGTATGTCCTTCCTTCTCCCAATTGGTCTGCCTCTACTGCTTTTTTGTTCGAGTTGTAGTTGTAGAGGATCTTTGGCATTTGATCTCTGAATGATCATGCTATTTTTTGTTAGTTTGCCTATTTTTTCGGTTAGGTTGAAGATCTTTAATTCATATCTGATGTCTGATGGTCTACTGTTGAATAGGCTGATAATGGTCTAAGAAATCTCTTTTCAGTTTCTTCTCAATCTCTTTTCTTTCTCAACTTTCTTCTTATCTGCTGCATTGAGCGCCCAATTTTTATATTATTAAATTATCATCGGTACTGCAATTGTTTTATAAAATTTCATCTGAGTGTCTATACGTGCTTTCTGCCTGAGAGCCTTTCGTATACTTTTTCCGTGTATATGTTCTGAAATTTATGAATTTTATATTAATGTCGGTGAGGGGTTTGGTATGCTTAAATGAAGCTAAGGACTACAACAAGGGTAGGATTGCTCATGGGCTGAAGAATTGATCAGTGCTACTGCCGGTAGGTAGTTCGTCAATCCAGAAGCTTGAAGGCAATAAGATTGCTGCTTTTTTACATCTTTTATAATAGAAAAATCAATGAAACAATTACGCGCCTCCGGTTAAGTTTGAATGTGTCAATTATTCTAATAATTTTCCAAAATATTAAGATCATATTACTTGCACTAATCCTGAAAGCTGTAATGAAATAGACTAAAAATGGAATTCTATCTGAACAAAACCAAAAAGTTGGCTACAGATCACGCTATGGAACTTTCACGAAAGAAACACCACGTTCATGCTGCGATTATATGATAACTTTGTAATATTGCCCCCTTCCCTATGGCCAGGTACTCAAATTACAGTAAGCGATAAGAAAAACATGAACATAGCTGGAACATTTTGTTTAAATATGTATGAAAAGTAATAAATTATTGTTATCAGATGATGATTTTGTCATCTAAGCTTTTTTCACCGCTCTGTCACACCAGAAGACAAGAATTATAAAATTTTTACCACGTTCTGGATATTCTGATCTCGTTTCTTTTCTTGTCACGTTTTAATTATACGCATTCAGTTTTATTGAGACAAGATAACTTTTACGTACTTTTTAATACTTAAACATGCGTATATATACGTAAAAATAGTGTTACGTTGTCAACTTGCCTTTTTATTATCCTTTCTCCTCCTACAAGAAGAGCTCTTTTCTTTTTTTGCGTTTTATATGCCACTTCTCTCCTTAAAATTTAATCCTTTTATTATTCTACACCCCTAAATAGTGTCCATCAATAGCACCCTAACCAACAACATTGATGAAATGGGCCTGCTGTACCGAATGTCACCACAAGGTCTGAAAAAGCTGTTTTCAGAGAAGGCCTGATCGTAATGTGCATCGCCCGTGGTATACTCCTGATGCTCCGGGATATTTATAGAGTTTGTCACTAGCCCCTGGAACGCGATTAACCCTGTGTGCGATGTGTGCGTACGTACGCAAGCTTCCCCCTCCGGCGCCGTGCACTTGGCGAGAGTTTCGATCAGGACTGCCACATGTTGCTTTGAGGCTACATGAAAACTAGTTTTAAAAGGGCTGCCTTTGCCCTCGGTCCTAACGTAACAAAATAAACTTTCTACTTTTATATAAAGTTTTAATTTTTCTGTTTTAATTTACTTATATATTACTTAATACTTTTGATAAAAATGTATCAAATTGTATTTTCTTATTAATTTATTTTTGAAGGTTGAATTTTACAGTATTAGATTACAAAAGTTAAATATGTGTTTTCTGCTGTTCTTATTTCAAGTTCGCTACGTTTCTATTTCCTAGAATGAAACTCTTGGACTGTTTTGTTCCTTTGTTCGACGAAATTATTCCCAGCGGTGTCTGCATGGCTTCCGGGAAACTCTGAAATCTTCGTGTCTCATTCCTACTTCCCTGATCCATTACTTTCAAGCAATCGTACTATAATTTTGCTTTGCGTGGTTGAAACAACTATGTCATACATAGAATATATGTTTATAAAGTCAGTGTTTCTTTGGTTGATTTCTGTGAAGTAGTTACATACATTATTTATAAGTGTAAAGAGTAATTTGCTACTGTTTAAAAATTGTTTTTCGTCAGGAAGCGATAGTTCAAACAAATTAACAATCATATAATTAAAGAAAGAAATTAAAAACTCTTGCAATAATCGGAATATAACGTTAGATTGCTTTACGTTGATCAAGACGCTAGTTCGTTAGAAGATGAAAGGAAAGGAATCAGCAGACACCTGCTTTAAGTTGGATACAGATTTAATAAAATTTCTGGTGAGATGCTGGCGAGACAAAATATAACATAAAATTTATTGATTCGCATTGCTATAAGGTGCGGTAGAATATCAGTAGATCTTTTTTCAGGCATGCATGTTCTCATATATGTAGTGGCATGGAGGGGTTTTCCTTGCCATCAAGTATCACAATGATCCTCTTTCTTCCCAGTTCTATTCCCCTTGCCCTCAGAAGTAGTCATAGTGTCGACATAAGCACCAGAGCAAAAATAAATTGTTGCCTGTACGACGGTTCTGCCGCCAGGTTGTATAATCCTTCCTGCAGAAATAGTAAATATCTATCTATCTAACTTAGGAGGTACATCAGTTGCGTTAGGGGGTACTGAGCGCCTCGGGGTATGCCCCGTAATGATGTGCACTTCTGTCCGACCGGTTGAGCTGGCTCAGGGCAACAACTGATGTCACTGCACTGCCTATGACTGGGAGATCCTAGAGTTGAAGTCCCGGTGGTGACAAGACTTTCAACACTATCTAGATTGCTATATCGAATTCAACCGCTGTCTGGACAATTCTAGCGGCCTCTCTGACCAATACCAAGCTAATGCCGGGGAAGTACCCTAACTAGATGGCCACACATTGCTCACGATCTTCGCTTTCTTTTCCGTGTACTGTAATCTCCACTTATACACACACAAATACTTGCACTCACATGCACTACACTATTACATATATCGGCTGCTTTGTGCTTCTCTCGACCTGGGACGTGCCTTGCTGGAGGTAGATAGCAGGAGAGGAAAATCGCCCTCAAGCCATCATTCAGTGCGGAAGAAACATCCCATCTTGCGTGATAAGACATTCACAACACAAACGAGACTAATAACAACAGCAATTGACGTGACCAAATAAAACGAAATAATTAATTAATCAATCAATCAATCAACCCAGTTATGTCTCAATTAGACTTCGAGTAAAGAGAGTTTATGGTTCTTCAACAGGGAAAAGTGAGTCGAATGTAAAATTTTGTGAAAATCATAATGATATGAGTGTTGCAAAACCGGTTATGAGTAAGCGACTAAAAATACGAAAAGATTAAAAGCTACCACTTCCTCAGGGACGCCAAATGCAATCTGCATCGCCGAGTCGCGCCGGCGCCAGGGATCTCGCGCTCCAATATCCTGTCCGGCTTCTTATGACGAAGAGAAGCGCCTTTGAGCTGCCGCTCTCTTTGCTGTGCAATATCCGCCCCGCCTGCAGGCCAGGCCGAGGCAAGGCGCGTCGCCCCGCTCCGACTCCTAAATAAGAGCCGCGCTGTTTGGCGTGGAATTGGGAGCGAACACGCCTGCCGTGTTGACAAACGAGCTCGGAGCCGGCTACCCCCGAGATCCCTTGGAGGAGCCAGGCAGGACAAAGCATGTTGGCGATGTACGTTGAAT